TAAAATCTGTAGACACAAAAAATTATTTCTGCACTAGCACAAAACACTTTTTTGCCTGTAAACTCTCTGTACTTGACTGAAACATGTCAAAACCATATTATCAAATGTCACATTTTCGGCGCTCTTTCAAATGACATATGGGTTGCCATAGCTAGGAATTGCCCGTAACGAGAAAAGGCCGGTGGAACGATTCGCCCCACCTGACCCTATGTTTTCTGGAAAATTTTTATACGATTTGTAAGATGAGCCAAAATATCAAAACAATAAAACCATGAAAAATAGTGATAACAGTGTGTAGTTTGTTAAAAAAAAATGAGATATACTTAGACACTGATGTGCAGATATATTTAGCGCATAATTGAGTTTTGAAACTAACACACATCGTCTGGAAATACCGTTTTCTTCTGTTCAAGTTACAAATATTTGAAACTTTACACGACTCACACACTATTGCGGTGCCATCCAGCCTATACACCTGCCACGTAGGTTGATGAAGCAAGAATTTCTAACTGAGAAATTTCCAAAGAGAGTAATCGCAAATCTTTATTAACCTGAGCTATACCTACCTCATTTAGGAACAAATATTCATACCTTTTGGAAAATTGATTTAGCGTTGGTAAAGTGTAATTATAAATGTATGTCGGCTACGATCATTAAAATACAAATCATGTGCTTACAACAAATTTTTCGTCAATTAGATTTGATTTGGAGAATTCGATTTGTTCCGATAAACACATGGATTTCTCAATTCACTATCGGACCATCTTGAGTGAGCAAGTATTTGGAGGTTAATTTACTACTGTTGCTCCTTAAAAGTTACACATGATAATCGATGATAAAAATAACGGACATCATATTTGTTGAACCATACAAATGTCATAGATTTATTGAACCATGCAAAAACGCTGATTTTGAAGTGATAACTTGATTTAATTTCTGGCCATAAATAAAATCCTGAAGTTTTGTTCAAGTCGATGGTTCATATGGTTCTAGTTTTCAGGATGTCATCATGATACGCGTCTCTGCTAAAAGTTACAGGTGTACTTGTGGTGGATGGAGTAGGTGGGGCTGGAGTGGTACTTAACGACTTGCGTTTGCTCCGAGAATGGCAATTTCCACAGATGAAGTGAATGAACGAATCGTTTAAGTTTACCATCAAAACCGAATTTGGATCCGGAAGTGCGGTGTAATTACTACTGTAGAGGTCTGTGTAAGCTTGTAAATACAGTGACACATCTTGTGCTCGCACTTTCTGTCCGTTGACTTGCTTAACAATGAGATTTTCAGGGGCAAAAAGTGACTCCATCAATGCTTTTGTAGTTGTCTTGAATTTTGGTAAAACTTCCTTCAAATCACCGGTGAAGTTTTGTGAATGTGCAATTTTTAAAAAAGGAAATGGCATTAGGTATGCACCGATCTCTTGGAAGCTCGTGGCTATTCCCTTTCTTAAATCTTCCATTCCTGGAGATGAGTTTTCGTTTTCAGCAAAGACTCCATCTATTATTTTCTGCCCATTACCGTGCGGTGCATCTTCCTCAAATGGCCAGTCTCGTACGATGAATAGCAGTTTTTGGAATGGGTTTTCGTGTGTCTGCTTAAAAAAAAGTCTTCCATCTCGGTGAACTGTTCCAATTGTTGCAAATCATCCTCTTGGATATTATGCATTACATTGTAACACTGAACGGAGGACATCAGCATACTGAGCGCAAAGATTCCCATGTAATCATGATCATTACCTTGATCATCGAAAATACCCTGTGTGTCCATCAAAATTATTGCGACTTTGTCTCCATTTGGGAAACCATGGGTGAAAATATCCGACCATATCGAAATACCATCAGTTTGACGCTGCCGATCACCTTTGAATTTGAATCCATTTGATATGCTGTTGTTTCCTGTTTCATCGAGCCAATCGGTCACATCGTGCTTTTTATACTGTTGAAAGATAATTTAAATTATGCATTAACAGCATATTTAAAACTTGATTTCCTCAAAAAAATCAACAAAATGTGACTTTTTTTACAAATAACAGTGCAGGGCTGGAATTCTAAGTTATTCCACCAAAACTGTTCGGAATTATATTTTTCATACATAAGACTATATTGGAGTGAAAGAGAGAGATTCCACTATTTTTCATCGATCCACCGGAATTATTTCTCATACATTCCACTCTTCCTTGAGTTATCAGAATAATTCCGATGGCTCGATGAAAAATAGTGGAATCTCTCTCTTTCACTCCAATATAGTCTTATGTACGAAAAAAATAATTCCGAACAGTTTTGGTGGAATGTCTAGAATTCCAGCCCAGCACATTTAAATGGGTAAGCGGTATAATGCAACGTTGCATTATAGCGATTATGAATGAATGTAATGTGATAACGAGAAAAATACATTCATTCATAATAATCACTAGTAAACGTTGTTCAGTATTTTGTTTGCCCAATCCATTGGTGTTATCGCCACATCAAATTTCGAGCTCCTTATCACTTAATTTGCACTATGTGATAAATACGAGTGACGTCACCGAAAAATATTGTATGAAAGAGTGCCCCACGAAATATGTTCAATTTGAATCGCCTCGTAAAATGTTTTTCAGTGAAAGTGGTACATGAATTTTTTTGCATGAAAACAAATTCACGTGTCATTTATTTTTATTTTTTTATTTTATTAAACACCGCCAAGCTCTGGCTGAATATAATGTGGGTTCTGATTGAGGTTTGGCCGGAAAAGAGTGCAAGACTGTTACATATTTAAAATAATAAACAATTAGTAGCAATAGGTTTCGATAACTATCAGTTCTCGTCTCGTTAAAAACCTGGCTCTTTTCGTACATCATGCGGTATTCACAATAGTAGGAACATGAAAACGAAAACAGTCATACAACCAAGATGGAAATGCTTGATATTAGTCTATAGTAAACGGTCCAGGATAACCTTTGGTAAACGTTTCCAAAGGGACAAAGGCTATGTGAAGCGTTAACTGTTACGCGTTAAATTTAGACTTTGAGACTGGCCAACATCAACACAATATTTTTGTGGGGCACTTTTACTAAATTATTTTTTCAGGGGCACTTCATTTTCCAAAATAATTACGTTTCGTTACTCCGCTTACCCAAAGTGTGAATAAATGGGGCAACATTGTTGACAGCGCCACGTCAAAGCGCTCCCCCGGTCAACTACAGTCAGTCGTAACGCAAAGTGGCACAAGCATGTCCCATTTTCTGCATCTAATCGTCGCGTTCATACGCGTGTGTATGCGAAAAATGGTACAAGCTTAAGCCAAATCGCGTTGCGATTGACGTAGGCTTCTGATTGAAAAATAAACAAATTAAAGTCAACTAAAACCAAATGAAAAATAGTTGAAAAAAAAGAAGAAAACATATTTCTTGAAAGAGTAGCTTTTCTACTTATATTTAGCCAAATTAAAAAAAAATCGTAGGTAAGTGTTAAGTAGAAAAGGTACTCTTTCAGGAAATATTTTTTTTCCAATTTTTGTTGGAACTATTTTTCATTTGGTTAACATTAGTTTGTTTGTTTTTCAATCACAAGCATACTTCAATGGGTTTCAGTAGTAACCAACGTGAAGTTGGCTGCGTTGCCCGGTATGCATTATGTCCACCCTTTGCGCTTACTCATTCATTTTGCCTACCTGTGCTTCCAAATATCGGATAAAAAAATTCACCAGAAAACTTTTTCCTTTACGAAGTTCACCAGCAATCGAAATCAGATGAAAAACCTCTAGACGAGGTTAAAATGGAGTGACGCTCCTGTGCGTGGATTTAAAACTCAAAATGACTGATATCATTTTGAGTGACGATAGGACGCTGTATTACTGGGAACGAAGTTCAAAAGGGTTTTTCGCATTCACTATTGTGAAAATTTATTTACAATAAGGAAAAATATCGCGTCACGACTTTTGGACGGCAAAACGCTTTAAAGCTTGACTTAAAGACTAAATTCAAAAGTCGTGACGCGATATTTTTCCTTATTGTAACTAAATTTTCACAATAGTGAATGCGAAAAACTTTTGAACTTCGTACCCAGAGATAATACAGCGTCAAAGCGTCACTCAAAATGATATCAGTCTTTTTGAGTGGTAAATCCGCGCACGGAGCGTCACTCCATTTTAACCTCGTCTAGAGGTTTTTCATCTGATAGTTTATTCAGCCAAAAGCAACGTGAAATGGAGACCCATGTCACATGTGTCACAGGGAGTGTAACTCCGAGGAGGAGGAATGGTGAGGAGGTGAATGAGGAGGAGGAGAGCGCTGAGGAGGTTCCTCCTCCTCACATGAGGAGGAAATAGAAATCACCAAAATTGAGGCATATAAATTTATTTTAAACACTTTTATTGATTTGTAACGAATGCAAACGATGAAAAAACTACAATCAAAATCAATAGATGTGTTTAAAATAAATTTATATGCCTCAATTTTGGAAATTTTTATTTCCTCCAAATGTGAGGAGGAGGAACCTCCTCAGTGCTCTCCTCCTCCTCATTCACCTCCTCACCATTCCTCCTCCTCGGAGTTACACTCCCTGAAACTATTGTGCAATATGTTCGTAACAGTGGATTCGTTGGCTAAATCTTCGAATGTTTTTAATGCTTGCAATAAAAAAAATGCTGACAAATCTGTTCAAGAGCGAAAATATAAAATAATGAAACCGATCATGATAGGTGCAGCATTAGTTTTATTGTTTTATCAGCCAAAAAAGTAAAACTCGACGAAGAAGCGGTGATGACTCAATTGATAAATTATCGAGTAAAAGCAAAAATTTGGGGCACGGACTTCGTTTGGGTCTCTTGTGCAAATGTTAGTCCGTTGGTTTGGTGAAAATCATTTTTTGGACATACAGCTCTTGATAAAATAGCAGAAAAAATTCTCACGATTTCATTGACTTCTACACAAACAGAAAGTACATTTGGTTCATTCACAGTGTGAATTTCAGACACAGAAGAGAAATCGTTTGACAACGGAAACATCGGGTTTAATTATGTAGATCGCACACAACTATAAGTTGATGCAGGATACAAGTAGAAAGCGAAAGAATGAAGAAGCAAGCACCACCACCAGTACCAGTTCAAAGCGAATGCGACATGATAAAAGTTCAGAAAAAAGTTAAGATGACAATTAAAATTAAATTTCTGTGTCTTTCATTCATATTATTACTTTTTACCAGTTTTTTATTAAAATTCTGCTACTTTTTTGGCTATTTCGAAAATACCCATAAATAGCCAACAAATCGGGTATTTACCCGGTATAAATGGGTATTTACCCAGGAAATTTACCCAAATTTAAATACCGGGTAAATTGCCCATCACTAGTGACATTGCAACATAATTCAACTTTTCCTCTCAAAACCAGTGAAAAACTAGATGCTGTTTTCAAAATGGATAAATGAATGTAAACTAAAACATTTTCAGTGTTTAATAATTCTACATAGATATATTTTTTCGTGCTTTTTCCGAATATGTATATAATGTGTCGCATTTAAAATTCGTATCTATGTTAAAATCGTGTTTTTTTGCAAATATTTTACAATTTGGACTATATTACAATTCGGAGTGTTTACGATATATTAAAAAAAATGTTTTGAAATTATTTCTACACTACAATCGAAAAGGGGAACCGAAGGAAATTATCCGATTATTCAGCTAAATTGGTTCAGCTATTCGTCACCTGAAAAATACACATCGATCAAAAAGATCAAACCAATTTCTTATACTATGTATTGTGAAAAAATATATGCAACATTACCATTGTTAGTATCCAATTGAATCTATTCCAATTGCTCTGCAATATTAATTTTGTTTCCTTTGCCGATAAAAAGTTTGGCGACCTCATTGTGACCTAAAAATAATACAGATCAATGAAAAAGATCAAATCGATATCTTATTTAGTCAGCTTTACCATTGTTAATAGCTACTTGAAGAGGAGTCTGATTCGAAATATTTTCAACAACAACATTTGCTCCTTTACTAATGAGAAATTCGGCAACATTCTTGCGACCTGAAAAATAATACAGATCGATTAGAAAATAAAACTATTTTCCTATTTAGTGAGAACAAATAATCAACATTACCATTCAAAGCAGCTAAATGAAGGGGCGTATTATTAAAATGATTCTTCATTTCATAATTAGCTCCTTTACTGAGTAGAAGTTCAGCGACATTCTTATGACCTAAAAAATAATTTTGATCGATGAATAAGATCAAATCAATCTTTTATTTAGTGAAACTCATAAAATCTCGTAGAAAGCATTTTCAAAGGTGTAGAAACGTTTATGGACACCATTCCGGAGCACAGCAATCGTGTATTGTGTAAAATGTACATTACGCTGGCCCCCCACAATTTGTGCTGGGCTGAGACCGGTGCCAATAATTTGTGCTCAATTTGTGCTGACCAATGGTACCATCCGTTTAATTTGTGCTGGCCTGGGAAGCTAGCACAAATTGAAAAATGTGAAAAAGTCGATTTCTGGCACTTTTTCAGGGGAGCTACCCGAAAATGAGACTTTTTTGTATCGCCACTAGGCTGAGAAATTTGTGCTCAATTTGTGCTGGCAAATGCTTTTTTCAGATTGGAATAATCTCATCTGGGGGCCGAGTACTAATCGTCGACTTTTTGAAAAACTCGATTTCACCGTGTAACAAATTTCAACTTTTTCTTCTGCACATGAGAAATTCCGATTGCTTGTTTTAGAGGACCAAAAACCAAGCACTTTTGCATCATTAGTTTGTTCGAAACCACGTCTAGATTTTTTTTTATCGACACATATAAGACAAATTTCAGGTCAAAATGAGCAAATTACAAACATGAGCTTCGATTTGACAGGTAAAGGCAAACGATTTCTACCTTTTCTGCCTTTGAACATCTAGTATGATCCTTTACAAACATTTTGGGTACTTATAGACAAAATGGAGTGATGTTTTCA